GCTACCAAGTCATTTGGGTTGTGAACATGACAAAAGCGTTCTGAAATTCAGACTTAACAGTGCAAGGGATTACTTGAAAGCTGGCTATTTGAGCTTGGCAAACCAAGTACTTTGTAATGAATTATAGTTTCAGTACAATCTAAATTATGCATAACACAGAAAGGAAAGAAAAATTATCTACTTTGGCTAATAGCTGGAAAATGATATGCTGTTAATTTTACTTAATCTTTACTAAATACTCAAAAAGACCAGACTGTGGATGAAAATTTATGGTTGCTTTATTATGCGCACCTGTTATCTTTACTGTCTAATAAGATACCCACCAACAACATATGACTATCAAAATTAAAAGCAATAAAATCACTTCCTTCATCACATTATACACATTTCAAGAGCTCATTTGTCACAGGTGGCTGGTGGCTCTTGTTTTGAATACATATACAACATTCCTATTGTTGCAGAAAGTCCTGTGGCACAGCCCTGAGACAAGTGTGGGGGCTGAGGAGGCCTGGACAGCGCACACGCCCTCTCCCCCTTCCGCAGTGGTTATTCCCAATCTTGGCTCACCCCAGCTTCACAACCCACCACCTTGCCATCCTCTCAACATGTGGCTGTGATATCTGTGCTATAAGGAAAATGACATTAAGTGTGGACCTTTTTATCCTCAGTGCTTTGGCCCTCCATCCTCACCACCTGCTTTTATATACCAGCACCTATCAGCAGGGGCACCATCTTTTGTGTCTATTGCTAATGCCTCCATCGGTGAGCTACAATCAACTTTTAAAAACCTGTTAATGAACAAGCTTTATCAAAGATGTATTTTCTCTTTCATATACATATTTTAATCTATCTGTTTCTCTCATATATAGATAGATAGATAGATACATATGTACATATAATTAATAGATTTGCAGCAAGCTTGACAGAACTGTATAGGGAAGGGCCAGTGGCAATCCCTTGTATAACTGTCATGCGCATCGAAACCAGGAAACAGACATTGGTGCAACCACAGAGCTTACATAGTTTCACTAGTTTTGCGTGCATCTGTTTGTGTATGTGTAGATGTACATATTTGCATGGGTGTTTGTACACTTAACATTCAAGAATGCTGATAATATACTGTGTAATCTTTTGAAATGGGCTTTTCCATTCAGCATAATTTTCATGTAATCCAGCTTCCTTTCTTGTGTTGAGGGTGTGTTTCTTCTGATTGCTGAGTTGGACCCTATAGGATGGGTGGGTCACCATTTCTTTAACCGTTCTCTGGTTGATGGATCTGCAGATGTTCACTCAACTTTTAGGCTGTTGCAAATAAAGCTGCTATAGGCATTCATGGTTTTGTGTGGATGTAAGTTTTCATTTTCATATTAAATGTCTGATAGTTCCATTGCTGGGAGGAGTGGTAAGTGCAGATTTAGTTATATAGCAACTCCAAACTGCCACACTGTTTTCCAGAAGCGTACATTATTTCATAATCTCACCACAGTGTATGAATGAAGTAGTTTGTCTGCCATTCCTGCCAGCACTTGGTGTTGTAATTCTACTTTATGTTAGCCATCCTGATAAGTGTGTGGTGATAACTTAGTGCTTTAATTTGCATGTTCCTAGTAGTCAGTGATGTTGAACCTCTTTTCATGGGCTTAGTTGTCCATTATCCTCTTTGGTGAAATATCATCTTAAGTCTTTTGTGAAAATCTTGTCAATTTTCTAACTTGATTACTTCTTTACAAGGTTTTTAGAGTCTTCATAATTCCGACACAAG